ATCTTGCTTCGAATTAGGCAAACAACCTCGACTTGAGCAGGCAAGGGCAGGCACGATCTGAAGCAAAACCGTCGAGCTGCATTTTTTTTCACGTTCGGAAAAAGGTTAAAAACGTTCAACGGATTGAGATAAAATAAAGGGAGCCCTATAGGAGCGGAAGCGCACGCAACCCAATATAGCAGAGCATTGTATAAATTTTCGTAAAAAAGCTTTGATGCTATGCTAAAAGCTATAAGATGCGGTTTATAAGACACGCTAAAAAGCAACAAGACTGCTCATATGAAGGAAAAGCCCTGAATATTCTGACTGCCCTTTATTTGGTTTTTGGCTGATAGTATCAAATTTTTAATTTTGGAAATGAGTCGTATATGTAATTACTTAGATTAGGTAGCTCGCCTCAACTCAATTTTATTGATTTTGTAGTACGGGATTATTCACCTAGCTTAAATATTTTGCATTACATTTTCAGCATAAAACGACCAGCAATTTATAAAACGATCAGTTTACTTAGAATCGATTAGAAGTAAACAACCAGTCACACTAACATAGTTGTTTGAGCGCATTGCATGGACCACATAGGTTCGGAGAACGAGCCCCCAAACGATCCAAACGGTCTGAGAAAAAAGTAACCACCACAGGGTTGTAAGTTTCTCACTTTCTTCGAAAGTCAGAACAAACAACTAGAATTAATATTTACATATGGTATTTTATTTGGGTATTACTTGCAGTCATTCATTGTATTGGCTTTGTATACTTTCGAGGTGCTCACATTATGTTTCGATCGTTCCCACCAAAAATCGGTTTTTTTCGACCGTGACCAAAATTTGGATTTGGTATGTTTTGACCGCGCTTGACCGAAAATCGGCATGTTTTGACCGTGCTCGACAAAACCAAACGTGCTCGGCCGTGCTCGATCGAATTCGGGTATGCTTTGGTTTTCAAACAAGATGAATTATGCAAATTTAAATTTAATAGTTCCTGTTTTTCGGATAACACCATATGATGTTTTTTATCTCAATTAATTTATTATAATTATTTGCAAATTGAATTTTTTGTAGGGTCGAACTAATTTTGTGCTTTTGTTTTCCATCTTTTGGGATACTGGCTTGCAATTTGAGTCAAAAAGATTAAGAAGTATGTTGATATTTGAAAGAAATTTTAACTTTTTACTGAAAATCAGTATTTTTCGACTGCGCTCGAGGTATGTTTCAACCGTACTCGACCATGCGCGAGTTAAGTTTCGACCGTGCTTGACCGTGCTCAAAATATGTTTTATCCGTGCTCGAGGTATATTTCGAATTTGCGCTCGACCCAAACCCGTGTCTCGACTGTTTGTTTGCGGTCGAGCACTAATATGTGCTCGACTTTGAAAGTCGAGACATAAAGTGAGGACCCAGGATTTTTCAGTAAATTATTTTCCAAAATAAAAAAATGTATATTAATTTAATATTTTTTTGTTTAACTTTTTCAATTTCTAGCTTAGATATGAGAAATGCTTACGCTGTAACGTGGTTGTACAAGCCGGTTTCGGAAGGGGAAATCTGAAGGTCATTGGGGGAAAGAAAGGCGCTGACTACATGCTGCCTCCCGTAGGCCAGAACGAAGTCCACGTATTTCCGAGGAGGTCAATTGTCCAAGTCATGACATTCGCCTGGTTCAAACAGTTCGTCATCTGCAAGGAACAGTCTTGGATATGTGAAGACGATGTGTCAGATGCAACAAGCAGCCGAAATTTCCCAACTTAAAAAAAGTTGAACATACTCAAATACCGATATTTTTATTTGTTTTTTAATGCTCTGATGATTTATAAAAAAGCATAGATTGTGGTATAAAATAAAATATTTCGCTTACAGCGTCATTGCGAGGATAGCAAACTTACTGAGTTCTATTTCATTAAGTGCCCCATTTTTTTGCTGAAAACAAGCCATTGATTTGTTTTTAATTCAGTCATTTTGATCAGGTGTAGTCTGCCAGCCAATTAAATGCTCCGAAACTTGTTGCTGACAAAAGGGACAAATTTTTGCAAGCCATTCTAATTTTTGAGCTTCTCTCCAAACAAAAAACTCTATTTTGCTAATCTTTTTTTTCGAGGCTTTTAGGAGCATTTTAAACCTCTCTTTTTCAAAAAAGTTTTATTACTTTCGCACTATTTTATTTGAATTTCTCTCTCACCCACCACCCACACGCTCTCTCGCTCTCTCTCTCTCTCTCTCGCTCTCTCTCTCTCTCTCTCTTCTCTCTCTCTCTCTCTCTATTTTATTTTTTAGTAAAGAGCGTGTCTGTACAGTCACATGCAAAACAGTCCAATACAAAACAGTCCGGAAAAGTATGAAAATGAACAAAAAAACAGTCTGACACAAAACAGTCCGAAAACAGTCCAAATTAATATTTGTTTTAACAAGCCGGTAGGCCGAGAATTGTCCTTTGTTCAACAAACATAAAGAACAAAATAGTGACCGCTGCAGTCGCGCCAACGTGTTGCGAGCTTGCCAACTGAGGATGGGACTTAAAACGAAATTTAGAGCCGGTTATCGCCGCGAAGAGGCGACGCATGCGTAGCGCGCCCACCGGCGACCTTAAGCCGGACTGTTTTGTATTGGACTGTTTTTTTCCTTCATTTCATGATTTTTTAGACTATTTTGTATTGGACTGTTTTGTATTGCACTTGGATGTTTTTTCCCTTCATTTCATGATTTTTTGGACTATTTTGTATTGGACTGCTTTGTATGGGACTGTTTTGTATATGCACCATTAAAGAGCGTGAGTATGAAAATAAATAGTGAAAATATGTTGTTACAAAATTGAACTTAACTTAGAAGCGTTTTATTTTCTGGACGACAAACAAAAAAGTATTGGCTAATCCAGCAAATGTTTACCAACTGAGAGACTTGAAACCTGAATTAGTCAGCAACGTGATCATTACGAAAACTAGGAACGAACTAACAAAACAGAAACTTCTGTATTGAAAACCCTAACGCAAAACATTATATAGGGGGTCATAGAAAAGGAACTACAGAACCGTCTACCACCACAAAACTCCAGATAGAACATATTTGATATTAGTTTATTATAGGAACATATTAAGACTAGTAGGAAAACTTTGATATTAGAAAAATCCTATTCAAACATTTTTTCAAAAACAAAATTCAAAACAACCTAACATCCGAATTCGATGTAAACATGTATATAAAATCAAAAGAGAGACAAAATCCTATGAGACAGTTGAAAAAAAAATTTGCGTATAGTTTTGCAGAACTTAAGGAAAACGCTGCAAAAACGAATCTTGCTTAGACGTGTGAATCTCTTGGAAAAATATTGCCAAATCCAGCAAAAAATACAAGCAAAGAGACTTCGAACACAAATTAGCTAGATACATGACTGAGAAGAACATGAGCAAACAAAAGTTTTTCCTGTATTGAATATTTTAACCAAAATGATGTTGAAGCGTTTAGTCAAAGAATACAGAAAAGCTTAGCTAGGCTAGCTAAAATCAAGAAAGTTGTATCTTTGATATGAATTTTACTTACCATCTGTTTTAATTCAGTATTTTTCGGCTCAATGTAGTTTTGTAACTTTCAACCAATATCAATTTCTGTTTAATAGCGACCCAACAACTGAAAATTTTTCAGAACAAATGCATGCTCATATACTCCCTTCAGTATACTCCGCCTACTAATGTTTAAAACAAGAAGCATCCAGGAGTGGAGGAGTAAAGAGCGATAAGGGGATGCATGAGAAGCAGGATTCAAGATCCTATAATTCAATTGCGGTTGCTTAAGACTGATCTGTACAATTGCAAAAAGTTAGTGCTGTGACAAACAGTAACGATTTTTGCAAAACTCTTTGATCTTCTTGCTTTAGCGATTTGTAGACCAAATTTATTAAAGGTTGTATAGTTGTGCATCAAATTTTTCTTAAAAAATAGTTGGTTTTGCTGCTTAAGGATAAGTGCAACCTTGCAAAAATACCATGGAAACCCGGAACAAACCTGATATAGTAGCCGCACATATGTATTCTAAGCTTGATATATATCATCAATGGTTAAGATAGATATCATCAATCAGTTTCAGCATGTCTCATGTAATTTTTGTTAAGAGCAACGTCACCATTTTTGTGTCCTTGTTCAAAAAACTTCTTTAATTTTTTTTCTGTCTGTTCAAACTTTATACTCTCCAATAACTTTCAGCATGAGTAGTATAGTAAAAGTGGCTAGGAAAATTACCACTTTTAACCCCCCCCTTTTTTTTCGATGTGCCGTTGTACTTACCACTTTTAACCCCCAAAGGGGTTAAAGCCCCTACTTTTTCGGGCACGCATGTTTTAAGGGGGGTTAAAATTGGTAATTTTCCAGCCACTTTATGGAAACGGCAAAGGAATTAAGTTTTGGTTGGTGCATGTTTTCCTTTTGACTTTGACAGTTCAAACTTTACTGCGCGCGTTATATTGTGGATTATTTTGTAATCTTTATCACCACGTGTGGAATTAAATAAAATGCTGTGATATTGGTAAGTTTATATTGTTGTTTTGAATACCCCCCTCCCCTCACGATTAGATTTGTTGATTATTTCACTTTTCGGTCAAAAGAACAATTTTGAAAAGCTTTATTTCCTGAATGAAAAGTACTATAAAGCTAATCATTTACGTTTATAATCAGAAGTTATTTAGTCAGAATCGTCTAATATAATAGCACGTCGATTTAAGCAACGCCGTTTAGGTGGTCTAATTTCTTCCCGCTCGTTTTCTTCTCGAGCTTCAATGTCCAAATAGGGGCAGTTGTACGCTGCTGGTTCTGAATCATTTTGCCCACTTAGCTGGTCGAAATCTACCAAATCCTGTTCTAGCTCTTGATCATTGTATGTGGGTTGGTTGAGCCCCTTATCTGGTGGAGTAAAAATATCCACATAATACCCGCCGTGCGCTTCTATAGCTTCAGCCAAATCCTCCCCACTTCCGTTATCGATGGGAGTGGGGACCACGGCGTCGTCGTCTACGTCGTATTCGCCCCAGTCCATGGTGCGCCCAATTTCTCTTACGAACATATCCTCACGCAAGCGTTTATGTCCGAAAGGACTAGTAGTTACTCTGTCTGCATGTATATAGCGCTTATTGTCAAATGCGCTCAGGGAAATTTTGTTCGTTATTATGGTTTGTAAATTGTGATTACAAGAATTTATCCTTACATTTTCTGACCTGACCAGCGAACAGTAAGTCAAAATTTGTTTGTATTTATAATGGGTTAGCTCCATTTTCACATATTTTGAAATCACTTTAGCGCTTTTTTTATCCATGTCTGAAACAAAAATACAATCGATTTACTTCAAATTTTTAACAGTTTTTTCCCTTTTCCACATAAATACTTTCCTTCCCCCTCCCCCAACCCTCACTACATAATCTTATGATTTGTTTTTGTTGCCCTTTTCTAAAATGGTAATTGCAAAATGGTAAAAGAAAAGAAAAAGAAACTTACTCGAAGAAATAATGCTGTACAGTTTGGGTTTTAGTCTGACGTACTCCTGTATGATCTCCCCAGCAAACTCGTTCTTGAATTTGAGGGTAACGCGCAAATTCTCGTTGGTGTAGAGGGGGTGGGTGGCTGGTAGATTTGAAAAGTCAAAATGATTTCGCAGTTCATGGTTTTTCTCAATTTCATTGTAGAGATCTTTGCTGCGGATTTCATACAGGAACGAATCAGTGTCCCAATATAAAAGAGTTGCGTCAAAATTTTTCTTGATTATGTTGTAATGGAACTGGAACATGTAAAATTTTGCCAAATCTAGTATCGTTGCACCAACAATTGTGGGCTTATCTAGTGTCCATGCAACTTTTTGCTCAGTTCACTTCTCAATTCTTCCGTACCCCATTTATCTAGAGAAACTTTTGTAGTTAGATGGGCTCTAGATTCAATATCAACTCAATCTGTATCTTTTTACGCTCTTCATTGATCATCAAGCCCTAAAAATTCTCTCTAAGAATCTCAGTCTTCTAATGTGTCTCTCTATAAAAATAAAACTCTAATTTACGTTTAGGTTTCTAAAAAAGTTTTTTTTTTGGTTTCATCAACAAACAGTTAATAAAGTTGAATGAACAGCATAAAAACATCAACTGAACCTGTTTTAAGGTTTTAAATGCCTAAAGGTCACTTTTCCTTGATCAATATACAGTTATTTAACTGAAAAAAGT